ATGGGTCTGCTGCACACACCTGCGACACGCCGAACGTTCGACACAGGACAAAATAGAAACCGCGCACGACAAAATAGAAACCGCGCGCGAGACACAAACGACCGCGTAACACGCGTCTAGCGATAACTCGCTATTGACTCGACACACACACTCGACATCATGACTCAACATTCACACACAATTATAAGCATGAAATATATATTATCCCATGCCCTCATACCATTCCATACACACACACATTCACGCACACGGACAACAAGCCGAGTGCAAACCGTAGGGTTGGGTTTGGGTTGGCAGAAACTAACTTTGAAATCATAGTTGAAAATTGAGCCAGATAATGTAATGTCCGGGTTGTCTGTATTGTTCCCCGTAAGAAAACCTGCACGAGAGTAAAATGAGTGAAACCGTTTAGCAACAAACTTGGAAGATTGAACTCAGAGAAATGAGGCAGGATATTTTGGTAGTGAGCGCACCTCAAGAACGGGGGCAATGGTGAAGAGGAGTTTCCTAGCCCTTAGCAAGTGACCATCCGTGTCTGTGCTGTTTCCCGGGCAGAGATAGGTGGTGTTGCGAATCGTGAACACCTTGCTTACTAGCATGCACACGGGTCCTCCTGCAGCGTCCAGTATCTCGACCTTACTGGGAACAGAAAACAACCTGGTGGGTGGGAGTTGAAAAGCAAGGACACGTGTGTTGAATGAATAACACGGACGACTAGGTATATCATAGAAGTGCCAGGTGACTGCATAACGAGGTAAAGATTGGATCGATGTTTTACCTGTTCGCGATAGTGAAGTGCAGATTTTTGTTCGTATCTCGAACCTCCTTTTTACCCGTAATCGTGAGAAATTTTTCCTTCATTTCAAGCATAATCTCGTACGGTAAGCAGTACTGCGGCCCCACGACCGCATACGGTTGAGACGGAGCTGGAAGAGTTTCCATCGAGAAAAAGAAATGGGCGAGGGAAACAAAGGCTTCGAACAAAATGCGAACTTCTTAGTCTGGCTGCTCTGAACTCTGCTGGTACTAGAAGTACGTCTGGTGAATATGAGAGGAGTGGTGAATATCACGTCACTTCTGTGAGGACTTCTGCTCTGGTCTGCTGTGAGGACTTCTGTGTTTTCCGAGTCGCATTCGAACGGATGTAGCAACTCTGAAAACATGACTTGATGCTGACATTGCGCATAGCTGGCGAATTTCGAATGATATGCTCGTCGTGCGCAAGCGTGGCCAATCCGCTTGACATCCGTCGAAGGGCATCGGAAATGAAGAGAGCGGGATTTGTGACCCTACGTCACGGGCTGGGAAGGGGAGCTCTGTGAGGTAAGAAGTGTTGCAGGATGCCTAGAGTAAACCAGCCTAGAGTATTTGAATGTAAACCTGTAACGACTTTCACAGACCAAATACAGCAGTTCGTATATACATAGGCAAGAAAAACCGCTGCGAAAAACTACTGGTGTAACCACCTCCGCTCAACGCTATCGATATTTCGATCCAACGGATGTCGAAGTGACACATCAGTGTGTTACCTTCTGCACGCTGCTGCACACCCCTCGCGAGACCGGTGACGACATTCGTCCATGATTTCATACACCCCTCGTCTGGAACCCATGTCCAGTCAGCAAATGCAGAGGTCCCTAAGCTGCTGTGTCATATTTTTTCTCGGATGACTGGCAACTCAACCCATCTGACTGTACAGCACCATGTGGTTCACGGATGCTCACGAGGAGGAGAAGAAACGGCTTTATTGCGCGACCCGACGGTTTTCAAATTTGTGTCAATCCTGTCGACCACTCGTGCGACACGTCAGCACTATTTCGAATTCCCTAAATCCGATCGACCGACCCTTTTTCTACACTTGCAAACACGAAAAGGTCACTCTGTCACAAGCATAACTGCTATAGGGTTCCTCGAATTTCGTAGGTTGGTGTGTGGTAGATTCTGTCGCGATCTGCATACAATGATTACGCGTGTCTGAATATCCCAGCGGAAATGAGTCGTCAAGCCTGACGACCCATTGACGACTTGACGACATGCTGCCCCGGGCAGGAAAATCTAAAACCCTATCGGATGGCATGCCATCCTAGGGAGGCATCAACCCTAAATCCATGCCTCTCTCTGTTTAGGGTTGATGCCTCCCTGACCAGATGCATGCCCAAACGTTCGAGAAAGTTACGTACTGTAGTTACACAACAAAAACCAGCCGAGAAACATTATACCTATGCTGCGTAAACTACTGTATAGTCGATCGGATTTTGGGAATTCAGATTAGTGCTTACGTGGTGCACGAGTGGTCGACAGGATTGACACAAATTCGAAAAACGTCGGGTCGCACAATAAAGCCAGAAGAAAGGGTAGCAGCATTCCGATTCGTGGAAAACAATCCGATTTGTGGAAAAGCTCCCAGCGACTTCTTCTGTGGGTCGTAGCGGAAGCTGGTAAGTCAATCATCAACGAGGTTACAGAAGTCAAAGCGAGAAATTAAAGCTTTGGAAGGTAGGTTCGTCAGATGGGTTGCGATTGAGAGAGCCTCCCACTCGCGACATTATACTGCGAAAGAGAAGTGTCGCAATCGCAATCGCAACAAAGAAAACGAAGGATGCGGACATCTCCACAACATTTCCAGCGGCGACCAGTTGCTTGTTTTCCCCGTGAAGGCACTCGCAGTTTTCGCCGACGTCGTGAACCCACCAAGTGTCAGCGGAAGACGCGACACGGACGAATGTTTCACCACCAGAAAGAGTTGGCTTGGGCGTCTTTAAAAAATTGAATCTGCCAGTACAACCTAAAAAGTATGACTCACCCTTAGAGGTTCGATCCGCGCTGCGAGAAGGGCATATCTCCGTCGGAGACCCGACCGTTTAATTAGTGTCAGTTCATTGTAGACAGACCATGCGCTCCTCTGATTCAAATAGTTAAGGCGTTCGATCGACGCTGCTGTCAGCTGCTTTTCCTGGTGGAACCCCGAACACTTTTAAGTACCTCCAATCAATTAGTGTTACAGTACATTGTAGACTGACCCGCATGCTCCCCATTTTATGCGATTTAAGTCTCAACCCTTCCACGATCGCAGGGTAAGAAAACGGACTGCTAACCGACTGCTAACCGACTGCCAGCCGACTGCTATCTGACTGCCAGCCGAGTGCGAACCGACTGCGAACCGCCAATGGAGAGCAGGCGCGAGAAGCGGAAGCGGGAATGGGCGGCGAAGTCGCTAGCGGAGGTGGAGGAGCGACTGCTAGCTAACTGACTGCTAGCCGACTGCTACTGCTAATTTACTGCTAGCCGACTGCAAACCGTCAATGGAGAGCGAGCGCGAGAAGCGGAAGCGGGAAAGAGCGGCGAAGTCGGTAGCGGAGGCGGAGGAGCGGCGCGTGCGGAAGGTGGTGCGCGCGGCGCTGGGTAAGGCGGAGAGCGCGAGGAGAGGCGAGGAGAGCCGCCTGCTGGAAGCCAACGGTAAGACGGTCGCATGGCGTCGCATGGCGTGTCACACCCTCTCACGGTCTAACTCCTTCTGAGAGCCCGTTAAATGGGTGGTGGCCCCCATGCACTCTCATTTCCATTCCCTCTCGTAGCCTCGCATTTCTCCAGGTGACCTTTGCTGAATCTATTCTGTTTCATTTGAATCGGGCCATTTTCATGTGCAATCCCATCAGTACGGGAAATGTGCTCAGGTGGGAGCCCAACAGCTTTCGGCACTGTTACGGGCACTGTTCTGGCACTGTGCACACGTGCCGCAACAGACCCTGTTACAAGCTCGCCACTCACTCACTGTTCAGCTGACAAATTTCATTGCCTCTGACACATTCTGACGGAAATCAAACAGACAACAGACCAAACTACCCGAAGCTGTAAAGGCCCCCCGAAAAAACAAAATAAAACCCCTAGAGAACCTGCAAGCCATTTCGGGAGGTATCAACCCTAAACACGGAAACCCATCGTGTTTACGGATGATGCTTCCCGGTTCAATTCCGTTCCGATTGGGTTTTTTTATTTTTACGAAAACCTTGAAGAAGCATCAACCCTAAACACCAGGAGGTTCCCGTGTTTAGGGTGATCTTCCAAAAATGCGTCCAGCGTCACTGTAGCTTTTAGTTTGTTTTTTTGGGGGTATTTCTTATCAGTTCCTGGTAGCGTGGGTAAACGAAGCGTGTGTGATCGCATTAATATCACTCAGCGAGTACAGATTTGAGTGGCGCATCTTTTCAAGGCTCTGTTCCCGCACATGTGTACAGTGCGCAACAGAAACTTTGAAAAATGCGCCGGGCTCCCACCTGAACATATCTTCTGTACTATAGAGATTGCACCTGAAAATGGCCCATTTGAATCCATTCTGTTTCATTTGAATCCACCGCCTTGTACCACGTGTCATGAGCAATGCGACGAGCATTTGACACGTGTCACTAGCAATGCAGGGGTGTTGTTTCGTGGGTGTGTGGGTGGTTGGGGGGTTGCTTGCTCTTTGCAGCTCCCTCTCAGGCACTGGAGTGGAGAGAATGTTGAGAGTCGACCCAAAAGCAGGTTAATAACCGCCTTCTTGTCTTGTGCTTTGCACATCTCTGAGTCCTTGGAGAAAGCAAAGGAACGGCAGCAGCAGAAGAAAGTGCGGATGCAAGAGGTTAGTTTCTTATTCAAGGTCTGCATGCGAAGCGTCACAGCTGGTAGCTTTTCAAGTTAGTAACTTGCTTTGGGCCATCTCAACGCGTGCATGTGTGCTTTGTAATCCTTTTAACAGTTGAGGTGGTTGTGGGATTCGCTTTTGAGAATTCTCAAATGTGGGATAGCACAGACCCAGGGGATTGATTTGATGGGGGATTGTGGTTGTGCAATTCGTGTGGAAGAGCTGCAGGATGCGCTTGGGTGGTGGGGGTTGTTTCTTCCAGACACCTAAAATTCGGTTTGAGGCGCCAAAAAATCGTCTCAAAATATGAGGCGCTAGAAAAAGATCGTCTCAAAAATCGCCTCAACGCGCTTCAAAGTTCGTGGGGAAGAGCTGCAGGATGCGCTTGGGTGATGGGGGTTGCGCCGTTGCTCCACCGCGCAGCCCCTTAGGCCCTCGTCCGCTGCACTTTCCCCCGACAGCTCCCTCTCTTCCCCCCCACTCCCTGCCTCCTCTCCCCCACTTCTCCTTCGTGCCCGCCCTGATCCCTCTTTGCCTGCATCCTATAGTAGCACCCCCCAGAGCAAGTAGAGGCGAAGTTTCAGCAGCTCTATTGAAGCGCCGCAAAGCCACCCCTGCCCTGGGCTCACCACCCCCCTCCCTCTCCCTCCCCACTCCCCCGTCCCCCCCGCTCATCACGTGCCCCCACAGGAGGAGGACCCCCCGGAGCAAGTAAAGGCGAGCTTTCAGCAGCTCTTTTGAAGCGCCGCAACCTCCCCACCCTCAACCCCGTAGCATCCCCCTCCCCCGCCTTTCCCGTCGTACCTTACTCCTCCACTGCCCCATCCCCACAGGAGGAGGACCCCCCCGAGCAAGTAGAGGCGAAGATTCAGCAGCTGCTGCGGCTGGTGCTGGAATGCCGGAGAGTCGAAAAAGCGCGGGACAATGGGCAAGCAGGAGCAGCAGCGTGAGCGTGGATTGGGAGAACATGCGGGAAAGGAGGGGCAGCAGCAGCAGGGGCAGGAGGGTTGAATGAGAGGACGTGCGAGGAAGGAGGGGACGATGTTCAAGTGACAGTAGGGGCAGGGACAGTGAGTGCAGGGCTGGGGACAGGGAGACAGGGTTGGTGGTTCACAGTGGGGCGGGGCTGAGCACAGCAGCAGGCATTCCGGACTTTAGAGGGCCCAAGGGCGTGTGGACGCTGCAGGGGGAGGGACGGTGGGAGGAAGCTGCGGCGGCCATGGGGAGAAAGTACGAAGAAGGAAGCTTTGCCCACGGTGGGGCACATGGCGGTGGCAGCGATGGTGGGAGCTGGGATGGTGCAGCACGTGGTGACTCAGAACGGTGGGTGCAGCAGAAGGGTGGGTGCAGATAGGTAGGTAGGGGTTGTTGCAGGGTGGTGAGCTGGCATAGTGCAACACGTGGGGACTCATTACGGTGGGTTGGATGGGGAAGCTACTCTGGCTCTCTTGTGCAACTGGCTCCCCCACGGTGGGGCACATGGCGGTGGCAGCGATGGTGGGAGCTGGGGCAGTGCAGCACGTGGTGACTCAGAACGGTGGGTGCAGAAAGATAGAACACATAGAGGCTGGTTGCAGGGGCAGCAATGGTGGTGGCTGGGATGGTGCACACCAGGAGAGATGTCGGGAGGGTGGGGTACCTGTCCTCTTGCTTCCCTCTCACTTCCCTCTTACTCCTCTTACTTCCCTCTCACTTCCGTCTCACTTCCCTCTCACTATCCTCTCACCTCCCTCTCACTATCCTCTCACTTCCCTCTCACTTTCTCTCACTTCCCTCTCACTATCCTCCAAGTACCTGCTCCCTCTTATCGTTTTGTCCCTTCCTGCTTCCGATCGCCTTCCTGCTTCCGATCGCCTTTCAACCGGCCCTTCCCAATCTTATTCTGCCAGTGGACGGCCTTCACTCCCGAAGTGGCATCCCATCAGACCGTCGATCAGAGCTGCATGGGTCGGTCGGTGTACCGGGAGAGGTGCAAAGAGTGTGGCGCCAAGTACCTGCGTCCATTTGATGTCACTGCGGCTAGAGGGCCGTCTTACCACCGCCACAAGACGGGAAGGACCTGCACTGCTACAGCTGGTCAAGGGGCAAGGGAGTGTGGTGCCAAATACCTGCGTCAGTATGATGTCGCTGCGGCTAGAGGCTCCTCCTACCACCGCCACAAGAATGGACGGCTGTGTATCGCTGTGGCTGGGATTACTGGTGTTGGTGCTGCTGCTGGTGCTGATAAGTCCGCTCCCCCCTGATGCACGGATGGACAACGAGGGGGGTGCAAGGAGATGGTGAGAGGTGGAAGAGAAGCAGCAGAGGGAGGGAGGGGAGGAGAAGGATGAAGTGAGAAGAGAGTGTGAGGGCAGGGGAGAGCGGGAGGAGGAGCAATTTGAGGAGAAAAAGAGTGGGGAGGAAGAGGAGGAAGTAAGGGAGGGGAGGAGGAGGGAGGAAAGGAGAAGGGTCATAGTAGAGGCGTGTGTGGGGGCGAGTTGGTGGATTCGATAGTGCACTTCGGGGAGAGGATGGACGATGAGGAGTTGAGTAAGGCGAGGGAGGCAAGCATGGGCGCACATGTGGCGCTCTGCCTTGGCTCCTCCTTCAAGGTGCGTTTGAGTTATCTTTTGGGAATTCTCGTAACCGACATTCAGGTCCGTTTGTCTGAACTGCCACAGTTTTGAGCCACTTCAACGCGATCTGTATCGTGCATAAGACAATAAACAGGAAGTCGCTATCCAATCACGCATAGAAGAAGCTGGGCATAGAAAAAGCTGAAGAACCTGGGCATAGAAGAAGCCTAGCGTGAGAAAGTTGGAAGGGAAGGAGGTCATTGGGGCAGCATAATTGGATGGTTGCCCACTGCTCTCTCCCCTGAGTCGCTTCAAAAGTGGCTAATCACTTCATTCTCTCCCCTCACCCTACCAGACGCCACCAGAAGCAAGCTCCCCCGCCTGGCAACCTGTCTGGTCATCATCAACCTTCAGTGCACCCCTCTCAACCGCAATGCACACATCACCATCCGAGCTCTCACCTATGCCGTTTTATCCTGCCTGCTGCACCTCCCCCTGCCCGCTTACCCTCCCTCCCTCCCTGCCTCCCTCCTTCCCTCTCCTCACCCCCACCAGGTGCCACCAGCCAGCAAGCTCCCTCGTTTAGCAACCCACATGGTCATCGTTAACCTCCAACGCACCCCTCTCGACCGCCATGCCTCAATCACCATCAGAGCTCGCGTTGATGCCGTTCTCCCCCCTCTCTCGCTTCTCTCCCTCTCCTCACCCCCACCATGTGCCACCAGCCAGCAAGCTGCCCCGCCTGGCAACCCTCCTGGTGGTCAGCAACCTTCAGCGCACCCCTCTCGACCGCCATGCACACATCACCATCCGAGCTCGCATCGACGCCATTCTCCCCCGCCTGCTGCACCTGCTGCACCTCCCTCTGCCCACTTACCACCGCCCCTCCGCTCCCCTACTCTCCCTCCCCAGCACTCCCCTACTTTCCTCCCTCACACACGCTCCTCTCCTCACCTCTCCTTTTCTCCGTCACTGAAGCTGAAGCTCTCTACACCAGCTGCCGGTTCCGTTGTGGGCAAACAAACTGGAGAGGAAAATGAGAACGAAGCGACTTGCGAATCGCCTCAGAAGGTGCGATTCTCCCTGCAGCACCATCCATGGCATGCAGTAACGAGTATGAGGTAAGTGCTGTCACTGCTGCAGCTCTGGGCAACCGAAGCATGCAATAACGAGCTTTAGGTGAGTGTTGTCAATGCTGCAGCTGTTGGCACTCGAAGCATGCAGTAAGGAGTATGGGGCGAGGGGAAATGGGCAGCCCAATGCGTACCCGCCTGGCCTGTTAGACGTGAAATGTTTTATTTGTCAAGATGTCGTAATATATCCACTTCCTGCAACTCACCGCTGTTCTCTTTCCACCACAACCCTTACCAGCATTCTCATTCCAATTCAGCCCTAGTTATTGCTTGTCAGTGACAAGGGGATGGCAAACCCGTTTTCATTCTTTCCGCTACACTGTTGCGTAACCCCAGCATTGAACAGGACAAGGGGACAGCACCAGGGTCCAGGCTCATTCTCTTCTTGCACAAGGCAACGAGGACCAAGGGGAGGAGGAAGAAGCAGAAAGCTAGGACCTCGTTTCCTCGCCCGACCATGTGATATTAAGACAAGGCTGTTGTGTTGGTTGATGTATCGTGTGGTGGCATGTGAGCTAAGACAAAGTGTTCTCAAATCTAGTGTTATTGAAAACAACAGTTTAATCAAATGTCTTGCGCAAAAAAAGCAACCATTTTCTACGGAGAACCATAACTTTCATACCCTCTGCAGGTGGTATTCCATTAAAGTCTTCCCCATTCCAGGCCAGAAAGAAGCGATTAGTTATCTGTACAGAAACACCCATTTAGAAAAATGTACAAGGGCTAGACTACATGCATGTTCATGTCTGGCACGTTGATATCATGCCAGACGTGGGGGAAACATGGATGTATTTTAACATGGTGTACCTCAGAAGGAATTCAGTCGTCTTTGTCCACTAACAGAGCATCCGCCAACGCCACAAGAGCAAGAATGAGCGCCATGTCCACGTTTGGCATGATTCGGATGAAGTACGTCTGCACATCGAAAATGTATTTCCTTGCATCCAACAGGTTCTGATTGACCTCAGCCAGCAAGATTCCACTGTTGGTAGTGATCTGAAAACAGAGGGGATGAAGGCGAGGCAGAGGAAACATTCAAGGTAATTCAGGGTCATTCGTAGACATTCACACGTGACATGGCAAATGCAGATGGCTTCCTGCCTGCTGTCATAGTATATTTGTGCGAGTGGGCCAGCCAAGGTTCAAGCAACTAAGGGTTGTGGTTGACTACATGCGCTAAGAGAGTCGACCTGGGGAATAAAACATGAGACCCTTTCTATAGAACAAGGGGTTGAAAATCACACACCTTAAAATTATGCTTGAGTATTGAGCCGCTTAAGTATATGTCTGGACTGTCGGAAGCATTGCCTCTTAGAAATGCCTGCATGAAAGGTAGCAACACAAGAACGCAGGAACGCGCACTCCAGATGTTTAGAAACTTGGACCCTGCCATCAGCAGACAAAACAGGTTGATTGGAATGGAAAAAAAGGAAAGCAAAAACAATGAAAACAAATACAGAAAGCCAGCCAAACAAACACGGGATGACCGGGAAGCAAAGACAAACAGGAATTTCGAAAAAAACTCACCTTCAGCACTGGCTTAAAGCTCAGAATGGACTTTCTGGCCTTGAGCAGATAGTTGTCCGTATTCGTGCTGTTCCCTGGGCAAAGGTACGCTGTGTCACGCAGGGAAAGCAGCTTGCTAACTATGGTGCACACAGACTCGCCCATGGCGTTCTGAATGGTGGTTCTGTCGCGGATGGAAAGAAGTCTGCGTGGAGAAAAGCGGTGGGTTGGGAAACAAAAAGAGATTCTGAACATGGACTTACGCCATAACCTGATTTCTTTGAAAAACATTATGTTATGCGCCTAAATAGAGGTGGCTCAGATCAAAACATCCCGAGGTCTTATATCTTGCCAACTGATGACCAGCTTACTTATCAGCGATCCTGAACTGAAGCTGGTTGTTGGCATCACGCACTTCCTTGGCGTCTCGGAAGGAGAAAATCTTGTCCTTCATCACAAGAACAGTCTCGAACGGTGCGCAGTACTGTGATCCAACCACCACGTACGGCTGCACCCTCGGCACTTGCATCTGCGACTCCATTCTTCCGCCTTTCCTTCCGTCTTTCCGAAAGGATCTTTCGAATTTCTAACAAACAAAGATTGGGCACGGTCGTGACACACAAGAGCACTTCGACCAAGTGCGCGTGGAACGAAGGATTGACGAAGACTCGGAAAGAATGGTACGAGGCTCACGCTGCCTTTACAGACCCAAGTGCCTGACGAAAGCATCACCCGCTGTGATGGCAAACCTGAGCCACGGATTTCCGCCGGAACGACCGTCCGAGCGCCACCGTCTTCGCCCGAGACGCGGGGTGGGGGACAGAGATGGCGGCTCGGTCGACATCTGACTCTAAGCGCCACCTGGAAGCATCAGTCATCGCGCCAGCTCGAGTTTCAGGACTTCGAAATAAGAAATCTCGTAATACTGTATCGAGGAAACTAACAATCATCCCAGCTCGACAACCGTTCAACCCTAGTCCAACCTTCGCAAGACATAAGTTCGAATCAACCATGGAAGGCGTAAGGCTGTTCCGTTTGGCTACGTTGTGCCACGTGGAAGCTAAGGAAGCACGAGATCAAACGCGAGTCGCGGTCGGATAGCTGATCGCGACGGCTTGGATGTTCGTCATAGTTGAGCTGCACAAATCGCAGCGTCGGTGGAGCGTGGTGCGAAGACACGCTTCGTTACGGTGCTATGCGTTATTCAACTATGCGAAGTGAGCCTACCCTGGCTCGGCTGCAAGAGATGTTGATAGGGCGATCGAGTGCGGCGGAATGCGGTTTTCACAGAACGCTAGCATCTCATTTATGAACTATGGTTAAAGCATAGATTGTTAGTGTAGTACCGGTACTAATATTGAAGAGTTGGCCCTACTGGTGCAGGATTTGCCTGTATCATGCAACATTCGTGGGAGGCTAACTACCCACTCCGGGTGGCGAAAACCAGCGTTTTTTTGGCCCACATGGAGAGGGTAGGAGGCGTGTCATCATCATTAGCTATGGAAACCGCATGCAGCTGTCCCACTCAGGGTGGAGAAGAAATCAAGCATGGCCCTGCATAAGGCTTTTCCACTGCATAATACTGGAAACAGAAGGAGTAGAACCAAAGAGGGGCAGAGGACAGCAGCATTGCCCCTCTACCCCCGGCACAGAGGTACAATAGAACATACAATTTACAACAACTTCCTAACGAGCCTCCCCGCACCTCGTCTGCGGTGGCTGTGATGACTTCCAACACTAACGCCAACATGAACGCCCGACCCTTTCTGGTCGACAAAGATCGAGTCCGCCATAACAACCAGAGCCAGAATCAACGCCATGTCGACATTCGGCAAGATTCGCACGAAGTATGTCTGTTGGTGGAGCAGAAGGTCTCGTGCAGTGAACAAGTCACGGCCTACTTCGGCCAACAGCGTGCCATTGCTGGTGGTGATCTGGCATTTGATTAACAAGGTGTTTCAGGTGGAAGCGGAATGGAACACATAAAGTGGGTTGTTACAAGCATCCAGCAATTCTGTAAGGATTAGAAATGGAAGAAGAGGAGGGGATGTATCTAATTAAGGGGTTGGGTTGGCAGAAACTAACCTTGAAATCATGCTTGATAATCGAGCCAGTTAGGGTAATGTCCGGATTGTCTGAAACATTTCCCTGTAAAAACACCTGCAAGAGAGGAGAAAGAGAGTGAATTTGCTATACAGAAACAAGAACTGGAAGCCGAAAGGGAACGAGGAAGAACTACTAAGGATGACGAACAAGAGGGAGGTAGGCTGGAAGAAATGAACTGAAACAAAACAACATATGTTTGAACAAATATAAAATAACTGATGATTTGGGAAAAATGGCAGGGAGCGCAGCTGAAGATCGGGGCCAAGGGTGTTCTGAGACGTCTCAAAGCACAACTTTTATCAGATTGGCAGTGAGCGCACCTGAAGAACGGGGCCAAGGGAGAGAATGACTTTCTTGGCGGTAAGCAAGGGAGCCTTGGTGTCTGTGCTGTTTCCCGAGCAGAGGTAGGTGGTGTTGTGCAGACTGAACACCTTGCTTACTAGCATGCACACGGGTGCTCCTGCGGCGTCCAGGATTTCGGTCTTGGCAGGAAGAGAAATCAGCCTGGTAGAAGAGAATGGGATTTGAAGAAGCAACTGAGGAGGACGTATAAGGTTGGATGGTAACACGGAGACAGGGAGGAGAGGAAAGACTACTAGTGCCAGGAAAACGAGGTAGAAGCGGCTCACAGGTAACGGGAAAACGAGAATGGCGCCGCAAAGGTGATGGGACCGAGGTACAAGAACACTGAGAGCGAGAGGAAATAGGACATTGAGACCGAGGCACAAGAACATTGATATCTTACCTGTTCGCGACATTGAAATGCACGTTCCCCTTTGTATCACGAACCTCCTTTTTACCTCTAATCGAGAACATCTGGTCCTTCATTTCAAGCATAGTCTCGTACGGTAAGCAGTACTGCGGCTTCACGACCGCATAGGGTTGCGTCGGAGCTTGCGCTTGAGGCGCAACGTGAGGAGCGGGAAGAGTTTCCATGATCGAGAGAAAAAACTAGGGTCAGGCAAAGGCAACTTTGGCGAAAGCGAATGATAATGAGCCAGTTTGCTCTGGTCTGCTGTAAATAGCTTGTGGGGAGTGATAAGTGGTGTGTGAAGCGTTGCTTTGCGTCTGCTTGAAGACTTCGAGTTCCCTCACGACGACTCGTGAGCTGATTCTGGTAAGTTCCGAATCAGGGGCCCTGATTCCTGCCGCGACTCGACGCGATGGACGACATCCGTCGATACGATTCCACTTCGGTTCGGTCGGTCGGCCTGGAATCGCTGCTTCCGTCGTTCCGTCGTCCAGAGAACCGCTGCTTTTCATCTCCCCTCCTCTCCATCGGTTCCTCGCTTCTGTAGTATGCGGTTCACAGACGTCTAAGGGCAGGTGAAATGACGGCAGAAGCAATCCCATTCGTGGAAAAGCTCGCTAGGTAGTAACTCGAAAATCCAGCATAAAAAACTACGAGCAGATCAGACGCGACTTTGTGGATGGGTCGTAGCAGAAGTTGCGAAGTCAAGCACTGAAGGCTCTTGTTATAAGATGACTCATTTGGGTAGCATAGCAAAAGCTGTACACTTTGTTTCACATTTACGGGATATGGTATTTTCAAGGGTGATCAGAACAAACGTTTTGATACGTTGATCCAATGAACGCCTCAAATAGTGGATAAAAACCACTCAGGATTGATGAAAACGGATGCAACTGTACACGTCAACAACACTGTATAAAGTGTGGTGTGGATAATTGGAAACATTTTCCAGGCATGCCGTCAATAACTCTAACAAAACCCCATATATATCAGTTAATATTTCAGGCAGGATTGCACTGGGGAGGTGACGACCAGACAACAGCACAGCATACTTATACGAGGTACCTCTTGTGCAAGTACTTTGCAACAATAATAACAGAGCACTTCCTTCCTGGCAAAGACTGGGAGGGACAGCAGCACTGTATGGAATTAGGTTGGTAGGGTTGCAGTGCAGGCCATGGGTCACCTCACCACTCGATTTGCAGGTGATTCCCTTCCCTGTTAACATACATGGTGTCTGCCAGAGTAACCAGAGCCAGAACTAACGCCATGTCCACATGTGGCAAGATTCGCACGAAGTATGTTTGGGCACCCAAGACAAGGTCGCGTGCAGTGCACATGTCACGGTTCACTTCGGCCAATAGCATGTTGTTGCAGGTGAAGATGTTAGAATAAGCAGGCAGGAATGATGGACTAGGTAGCATGCATGAGTACAAGTACCTAACCCTAAAGTGTTGTACCCCTTGTAGGCTAACCCACTATAGCCTAGAGATAACACAAACATACAGTTTGACACACCCCCATATGCTAAGTGGGAGATAGAAAACACAACAGACGGTCACAAGACCAGTCAAGCAAGAGAACAAGCAAAGCAAAGCAAAGCTCAGGGTGGATCTCAAGGACACCACACAATCTGAGCACAAGCAAGCGGCCACAAGGCCAGTTCACTGCAGAGTTATAATAGCAAGGCAGTACACTGATCACAACCTAGCAAGAGTAAACAAGCAGGTATAAAGATATATATCAGTGTACAACAAGAGCAAGTCAAGCAACCAGCAGGTGAGGCAGAGTGGGCACAAGCCCAAGAGCAGTGCAGAAACGCTGATGATCACCAGCCCCAAGGGCCTTGGTGAAGACATCAGCAGTGTTGGCCCGAGAGGCTACGAAAACAAGGCGCAGCTGACCACGCTGCTGCAGCTCACGCGCAAGGAAGTAGCAAAGAGCAATGTGCTTCGTTCGGTGCTCCAGTCTCTGCTCGCGACACAAGGCAAGCATTGCCTTGTTGTCGACGTACAGAACTGGAGGAGAACGAGGCCGCTCCCCCAAGTCGGTCAGCAGGTAGGTCAGCCAGCGGAGCTCCTATGCAGCCATGGCCCCAGCGTAGATCTCGGCCTCACAGCTGGAACCAAGCACATAAGAAGAACGAGTGGACCTCCACGAGACAGAACCAGCGCCAAGACTGAAGGTGTAGCCCTGTGACGAACGCTGAGTCGCCTGGTCGTCGGCCCAAGAAGCTTCAGAGTGTCCTGTGAGGACCACTGAACCCCGTCCTCCAAGCACGAGCCCCATGCCCGATGTGCTGCACAAGTAACGCAGTACCCTCTTCGCAGCATCAAAGTGCACCTTTCGGTGTCGACCAGGTGCCACGTAGCGAGCCAAGAGGCTGAGAGGGTACGCGAGGTCAGGTCGTGTGCACGTCATCAGGTACATGAGGCAACCCACAAGCTCTGGGTACGGACCACTCGGCTCTGCGGACTCGTCCGAAGGAGGAGCTGAGAGCGAGTGGTCGGTAGCCAGAGGAGTGGGTTGTGGCGAGGAGTACGTGAAGCGGAAGCGCTGAAGGACCTGGTGCACCATGTGTGACTGATTCAGGGTGATGGTGCGCCGTGCTCTGTCCCGGGTGATCTGCAAGCCAAGATAGCTCCGCAGCTCACCCAGGTCAGTGCAGGTGTGTCTCTCCTGAAGCTCCGCCTTCACTAGGGCTATTGCCTCAGTGTCAGCAGTAGCAAAAACCAAGTCGTCGACGTACACGAGGATGTAGAATGGCGGCAGAGTAGTGGCGGTGCGTAGAAACAGCGACGGGTCAGCAGTCGATGGAGCAAACCCAAGAGCCGCAAGTGTCGTCCTCAGTGTGTCGTGCCACTCGCGATGCGCCTGACGCAGGCCGTACACTGGTCGCCGTAGGCTCCACTGGGTATCCTCAGGAAACGACCCAGTGAATCCCTGTGGACGGCGCAACCAGATGGCCTCGTGAAGGCTACACTGCAAGAAAGCTGTCGAGAATTCGAGGGAGTGCAGCTCGTAGTCACGCTGAGCTGCAACGTGTAGCAAGACCCGAAGATTGGTCATCTTCGGGGTGGGGGAGAAGGTCTGAAAGAAGTCGACCCCCTTACGCTGACTGAAGCCTCGAGCAACGTAACGTGCCTTGAAGGCTGGCGGAGAACCCGGCGGCCGCTTCACCCTGAAAATCCACATGCCACTGACGATGTTCGCCCCAGGTGGGGGAACCTCGTCGACGTAGGTGCCTGTGGACTTCCAGGAAGCCATCTCTGCGTCCATGGCTGTCTGCCATTGAGAGGAGTACTCACCCGAAATCGCCTCCCTGTAGGAGCGCGGGGTGGGGATGTCAAGTGCATCCGGGTCTCCCTCAGGGGCAAGCAGCATGATCGCGTGATGGGGTGAAGCGGCCGCAAGGCACTCCAGCTCCACTTGTCTGTCCTCAAGAACGTCACAGCTAAGGGCAGTACAGCCAAGGACAGTCTCACCCCCAACGGACGGAGGACAGGCAGGGTCAGGGTCAGAGACAAGACTCGCAAGGTAGTCTAGGCGGTACACAGTAGCAAAGTCAACGAGCTCAGCGACTAAGGCAGACGCAACAGGAGACGAGAACGTAGGGTCTGTCACAACCGTAGCAAGGAAGCGAGTAATAGTCGGACTGGACGCACGAGCAAGGTCAGACGGAGGGTCAGCAACGTCAGGAAGAGAGGACGCTGGAGGTAACGGTAGGACTACACGCTGTGGAACAGAGGAAGGACGGAGTGTCATATCGTGAGTGCCGGGGACAGCCGGAGCACGCGGACGACGAACACGAGGAACACGAGCACGGACAGCAGCTCTACGCTCAGGCTCAAGGTCAAAGCTAGACTCAGGCTCTCGACGCTCAGGGGTGGAAGCACGAGTCTCAGGCTCTCGACGCTCAGTCAGGGACTGTGTCACCCCAGTGTAAGGAGCAGGAGCAGGCAGTGGGGAGTGCGGTAGCAGCGGCAGCTGTGACTGGTCCGCCGGTGGAAACAGCAACTGAGGAGTAGTACCTGCCATAGGGAAGTCAGTAGCACCGGGCGGAAGACTGAGAAGGTGGCGAAGAGCACCAGCAGCTCCCGTACCTCCAGCACGAGCAGCTCCTCCAGTACCCCCAGCAACACCTCCAGCACCAGTAGCACCAGCACCTCCAGCACCACGAGCTCCGACAGCGCCAGCACCTCGAGCACCAGTAGTACCTCCAGTACCTCCCGTGCCAGCAGCTCCAGTAGCACCTCCAGTACCTCCAGCACCAGCAGCACCACCTGCTCCGGCAGCTCCAGCACCTCCAGTACGAGCACCTCCGGGACCAGTAGCTCCAGCACCTCCAGTACCTCCAGCTCCAACGCCTCCATTACCAGCAGCACCAGCACCTCCAGGGTCAGCAGCTCCCGCAGCTCCAGCACCAGTAGCACCAGCACCTCCAGTGCCAGCAGCTCCAGCACCACCAGCACCTCCAGTAACAGTAGTACCTCCAGCACCAGCAGCTCCAGTACCTCCAGCACCGACAGCACCTCCAGTACTAGCAGCTCCAGTACCTCCAGCACCAGCAGCAGCTCCAGTACCCCCAGCACCAGCAGCACCTCCAGCACCTCCAGGCCTAGCAGCTCCAGTACCTCCAGCACTCGTAGCACCTCTAGTACCTCCAGTAGTGCCTCCAGCACCTCCAGCACCAGCAGCACCTCCTGGACTAGTAGCTCCAGTACCAGTAGGACCGTACCCTCCACCACCAGGACTGCCTCGCCGAACGACCCACGAACGAATCGCCTGTGGCGAGAGCGTCTCAAGTAGAGCAGGCTGTGGTGGCTGTCCAGCTCCAGTACCTCCAGTAGTGGTAGCTCTAGCACCTCCAGCACCAGCAGCAGCTCCAGTACCTCCATTACCAGTAGTACCTCGAGTACCTCCAGTAGTACCTCCAGGCCTAGTAGCTCCAGTACCTCCAGCTCCAGGACCTCCAGAAGGACTCGCAGCACCCCCAGAGTCAGCACCCGAAGTCTCAGCACCCCCAGAGTCAGCACCCAAAGTCTCAGTACCCTCAGTCCCAGCACCCGCTGGCTCAGTGCCCTCAGTCCCAGCACCCGCAGGCTCAGTACTCTCAGTCCCTGCACCCCCAGTCTCAGCTCCAGTGTCCACTGCAGAAGGCTGCAGAGGCGGGAAACCGGGGGGGGTAGCCAAACGAGGAGAGCTGACACCCCCAGACGTACCAACCCCAGGCCCAGCTCCAGCAGTCTCAGCTCCAGAGTCCACAGCAGCAGGCTGCGGAGGTGGCGAAGACGGCCGAGGCGGGAAACCCGGGGGGGGTCTCCAAGCGAGGAGTGCGGCGAGTGGTCGCCGTGTCGTCGGCCGCGGTGTCACCCCCCTCAGCTGGGTCAGAGGAGTCAGAAGAGATCTCCACTGGCTCATCCAAGGAGGGTGGGTCTACCTGAGACACACCTGAGGGAGCAGGACCCTGTGGGGGAAGGGGGTCTACCGGGGGGGGGGACTGGTACCAGGAAGAGAGGCGCGAGGGGGACCGGGTGGGACGCGTGTGGGTGAAGTCGGTAGTAATAGACCGACTCGTCGAAGGTGACGTCCTGAGAGGACAGAACACGACGCGAGGCAGGGTGGTAGAACTGCCAGGGCGGGGCGTCGGTGGGGAAGCCCAAGAAGACACAGCGGAGAGTGCGAGGAGAGAGCTTGCTCGCTTTGGTATCGCGAACAAGGGAGAGCGCGCCCCAGACCCGAAACGACGACAAATTACCAGGCTGTCCCGTCCAACGGAGTGTGGGCGAGGTCTCTGGAGCAGAGACACGGGGCCAGAGGTTGAGCTGATGCGCGGCGTATCGGACCGCAAACGGCCACAGGAAATGGGGAGCAACCGCATGGATCATGGAGGTACGAGCAACCTCCATGATCAGGCCAATGCGACGCTCAGCGATCCCATTTTGCTGCGGAGAGGCCGGAAGCGTGAACGATTGGGCGATGCCCGCGTCCTGACAGAACGTCTCAAGGACGCCAGAGGAGAACTCACCACCCTTGTCAGAGTGCAGACGCAGGACTGGGAAGTCCTGCTGAAAACGCTCGTGCAGCTGGAGACGAGTAGCACGGATCCAGTGGATCAAAACACTGCTGACGTCCGCCTTGCGCCGCAAGGGGAAGACGGTGGTGTAGCGTGTGTAGTCGTCAACAACCAGCAAGAAGTAGCGCTCCTGGTCCGTTCCACCGACTGGGGCCGGGCCCCACACGTCCAGGTGGAGAGTCTGCAGAGGAGCAGTGGTCGGAGGAAACTCCGAGGAGTGAGGAGCGGCGCGCTGCCGCCCCTCGATGCAAGGAAGGCACGGCGGGGCAAGCGAGCGCGGCAGGGGGGCAGGGTCCTGGGGAGGCCAGAGACAAGGAGACGGGAGTGCATACTACGTAGACGCGGCAGGGGGGGGTGACCAAGACGGTGGTGCCAGCGCTGACTCTCGTGCGTGAGTACTCTGCACGAGCAAGACGCAGCTAACTGTCCCGACGCAGACGCCCGACTCGACGCAGCCAACTGACCTGACTCAGCCACCTGTGCAGACGCAGTGGTCAGTGTGTACAGACTAGACCCAGGCTGTCGAGTGAACGTAGCCAGGTGACGGCCAGTCCGGGAGCACGTACAGATCGCCACACGCTGCCCTCCAGGAATAAAGGTATCAACCCAGACATCCTGAATGGCAGCGTTGCTCACCAAGTTCGTCGAGAACGTGGGGAGGTGGAGAACTGACAGAGAACCGGAGGGGACTGCTGGACAAGGGAGGACCGTGGAGGCTCTCGCAACTACTGGGCCCCCAGAGGGGTCAGCCAGTGAGACTGGGACAGGTGCTGTGAGTGGTGTGACTGTGGTGCAATCACGAAAGAAGCAACGTGACGCGCCTGAGTCAAGTTTGAAAGTGTGCAAGACCTCAGCGGAGGCAGGACCTGTGGCAGTAGACGCACTAGCACCTAGAGCTGCAGCAGACTCACTAGCACCTGGAGCGGCAGCAGACTCACTAGCACCAAGAGCAGCAGCCTTAACACAACGATAACCTCCACCACCAGGCCTGCCTCGCTGAACAACCCACTCACGAAGCTGCTGAGGGGTGGGGTCGTCCGGGAGAGGCAGTGCCCGCTGCTGTCCACCCCTGGCCGCAGCAACTACCACGATAGTGGCCATGACAGACAGCGACGGTGAGGAGTAGGTCCAGCACCTCCAACTCCTCCAGCAACAGCAGCACCTCCAGCACTCCCAGCAGCACCTCCACCAGCAGCAGGAGTAGCACGAGTAGCAGCAGTAGTAGTAGTAGCAGCAGCAGGGCGGCTCAGTGGGGCTGGGCGGCCGCACCTCCAGCACTCCCAGCAGCACCTCCACCAGCAGCAGCAGTAGCACGAGTAGTATTATTATTATTATTATTTTTATTATTATTATTATTATTATTATTTGTTAGGGTTTAGGGTTGCGCGCGGCCCACGGGCTGCAGGGGCGACGCGCGGCTCGGGCTGGCGGCGCGCGGGCTGCAGGGGCAGCGCCCACGGGCTGCAGGGGCGACGCGCAGCTCAGCAGGGCGGCGCGCGGCTCGGCAGGGCGGCGCCCAGGCTGCAGGGGCGACGCTCGGCTCGGCAGGGCGGTGCGCGGGCTGCAGGGGCAGCGCCCACGGGCTGCAGGGGCGACGTGCGGCTCTGCAGGGCGGCGTACGGGCTGCAGGGGCGATGCGCGGCTCTGCAGGGCAGCGTACGGGCTGCAGGGGCAGCGCCCACGGGCTACAGGGGCAACGCGCGGCTCGGCAGGGCGGCGCGCGGGCTGCAGGGGCAGCGCCCACGGGCTGCAGGGGCGACGCGCGGCTCTGCAGGGCGGCGTACGGGCTGCAGGGGCGACGCGCAGCTCTGCAGGGCGGCGTACGGGCTGCAGGGGCAGCGCCCACGGGCTGCAGGGGCAACGCGCGGCTCGGCAGGGCGGCGTGCGGGCTGCAGGGGCAGCGCCCACGGGCTGCAGGGGCGAACTCGCGGGCTGCAGGGGCAGCACGCGGGCCACAGGGGCAGGCACGGCTGCAGGGGCAGGCACGGCTGCAGGAGCAGCACGTTCGCAGGGGCAGGCACGGCTGCAGGGGCAGCACGGTCGCAGGGGCGAGTACGGCTGCAGGGGCAGCACGGTCGCAGGGGTGCGCACGGCTGCAGGGGCAGCACGGTCGCAGGGGCGAGCACGGCTGCAGGGGCAGCGCGGTCGCAGGGGCAGCACGCGGGCTGCTAGGGCAGCGCGGCTGCAGGGGCAGTGTAGGAAGAAAAAAATTACGGTTAGGGCAGGGCGGAACGTTCGGTGGGCCCTAGGAACGATTCTGCTCTAATACCATGTTAGAATAAGCAGGCAGGAATGATGGACTAGGTAGCATGCATGAGTACAAGTACCTAACCCTAAAGTGTTGTGCCCCTTGTAGGCTAACCCACTATAGCCTAGAGATAACACAAACATACAGTTTGACAGAAGATCTGTCATAAGGATGGCAGGGGAGGGTGAAAGTGGATACAGCAGGCATTGAATAATAAAATTATACAAACAGATGCAGCAGTTCAATCTGTCACACTCGAAAATGGGAAAAGAGATGTCCCAGGGGGGGTGTCTGGGAAAAAGGTGAGAAGCTGAGAGAATACTAGTACCTTGAAGTTATGCTGGAGAATGGAGTCAGTAAGGTAAATGTCTGGGTTTTTTGTTACATTGCCCCGTAAAAACACCTACAAGCAGGGAGAGGAAAGACGCAAGAGGTTAAATATGGTTGATGAGAAAAACTTTAGGTGGAGAATAGACTGGTCAGAAGGCACCGAAGAAATAGAGAATGGAGAGACGGAGTGATAGGAAGAGAAAATAGGAAAGAGAAGGTAACAAATAAAGCTGGGAAAGAGAAAATGGCAGATCGATGTTTGGGACCCTGAAGCTGCAAGCGCACCTCAATAACGGGTTGAAAGGTGATGTAAGGCCTCCTTGCTCTAAGCAAGTGACCGTCGGTTTCTGTGCTGCTCCCCGGACAGAGGTAGGTGGTGTTGTGCAGAGTTAACACCTTGCCTACTAGCATGCACACGGGTGCTCCTGTGGCGTCCTAAATTTCCGTCTTGTTGGGAATGGATAGCAGCCTGGTTCGGGACAATCAAATTGGTGAAGATGGGAAAAGGTTAAAGAGTATGAATAGCTAGTCTAGTAAATACTGATATTAAACAGTGGTAGAGGCAAGGCAATTTCAAAAAAGGGAAAGACTTGTTTACAACTACATGAAGGACTCGTTAATGACGGAAAGACCTGTCATTAAGAATTGAGACCTCACCTGTTTGCGACTTTGAAGTGCAGATTCCCGTTGGTATCTTGGACCTTCTTCGCTTCGCTTAACGAGAACATCTTCTCCTTCATTACAAGCACAGTCTCGTACGGCAAGCAATACTGCGACCCCACGACCGCATACGGTTGCGACGGAACTTGTGCTTGAGGCGCAACGTAAGGAGGCGGAGGAGCAGCACCGTGAGCCGGCTGCTGGTGATAAGGCGCTCCCGCTTGATGCGCCGCGGGATAATGACTGGGATAAGCACCGTAGCGCATGCTCGCCATAGTTGCAAATGCACCCGTTCAATACGATTCGAGCGAGACGTTTAGGCTTGTTGTAGGATGCTCGGCGCTCAGAATGCTCAGTGGTAAATAATATCCGTGAAACAGGAACTTACGAAATGTATGCGGTAAAGGCCTAATATAATTGTGAAGCCTGTAGTGTTTGCGATTAGAGCTAGCAAAGTATCACTGTTTGATGCCGATGAAATAGCCATACCCAGATACTTTATATGATCAAGAAGAAAAATCGGCGTGGGAGACGGCGTATGCAGCAATCGTGAGCTAAATTCCCGCAGCGCGGTCCGATCGATGGATTAGAGTGCTGGTGAGTGGATGCTGTTGTGTGCCGTGCAGAGCAGAGTTGGGCTGAATCCGCCAGATCAATCGTGGATGAGAAATGCGGAGGGGAGGAAGCAGGAAGCAGGTGAGCCGTGTGAGGAAAGGTTGCTCAAGTGAACCAAGCCGTGTGAGGCTAGGGATGCCGACGAAGTCACGGCGATGGTTTGCGATGCGTGCGAACCTGGTGCGACGGTAATCTCAAAGGGAAGCTCGGCGGGGAAGTTGGAAGGTAGGAGATGTGGCAAGCTTTGAAAGATAATTCCGTTACTGTCAATATCCGATACGAGGGGAATCACGTCCCCGTAACTACTATCTATGACTGCAAACATTGAACTAGACAAATAGTGAGCTCATGGCTTTCCATGCAAGCCAATATGGTACATCTCAAAACAAGAGTTTTGTACGCGGTACATGTAAGCAAGAAAGTTGGCGATGTAACTCTACCAAGCCAGACAATATAGCAATGGCCGATTTGCAGGCCAATGCAAAAACAAACCAAATCAACCTACTCGTCGGCTGTCACACATGTGATGAACCGTCATTATTCCTCAGGTATCTATTGTCCAGTTCCTCCAGCCTCCCACCTGCCGTTTCCCTGACACTCACTCTCCACCGCCAACCCCTTTCCTCCTCCCTCTCCCTCCACTCGTCCCTCCCCGCTTCCGCTTCCTTCCACCTACCACCCCTACCGCCGTTCCCTTGCTCGAACCACCCGTGCTGCCACTCTGCTGGGAGTCCCCCTCGCTCTGCTCGTGGTTGGAGCTCCTCAGGAACATGCGAGGGATTGCCATTGCCGGCTTGTCTGAACCTAAGGAAGACTCTTCTACTGACCCCTCTCCTCCTCTCCCTCTCCCTTTCCCTCCCCTCCCTCCTTGTCCTCCTCGATCGTCTCTCTCGCTCGTTTCTGTTCCTCTCCTTCCACTCCCGTCTCCTTGCTCCTTCTTGTCTTTCTCCTCCTCTTCTCTCGCCCGCTTCAATCCTCCCATCCCACTTGTGCCTTCCTCCACAGCCCCATTCCCCTCCCCTTTCAAGCGCCCGTGCTCCCGACCCTGACATTCCGAACCTACGCCTGCATGCCCTTCCGAACCTAACCCACCAACTATTTCCGTCTCGCCGGACCTAGCAGGCCCCATCCAGTCGCCCCACGTGCCGTTGCTCATGCCCGGGCCACTGCTGCCAATCCAAAATGCAGCACCAAGTGCACCACTCCCTACCACACCCGGCACACCAGCACTACAGTCCCCTGCAGCACCAGGCACAACCCCACAATCCCCTGCAGCACTACCCATTGCCCCAGCTACATTCGCACAGCTGCCTACAACCACACCTTCCCCTTCCCCTACTCTGCGGCCCCCCGTGCCTGCGTCGCTCCCAAACGCTGCAGCTGGTCCTGCTCTGCTCTTATCCCCCACTTCAGCTGAAACAGCAACATTGGCAGACACTGGGGGTGGTGCGGCCTTGGCGGCTGCACCAGCAGCGGTGGGAGCCGCAGAAGGATAACTTAAACCCGACACTTGACATCCCCCTCCTAGCACTCCATTCCCCTCTCTATTCCCCCCTCTATCTGGCCCTCTTTCTCCCTCCCTTTCTCCCTCCCGTCCTTCCTCCTGCCCTTCCTCCTGCCCTTCCTCCTGCCCTTCCATCGTACCCTGCCGCCCCACACGCTCCTTCTGCCCATCGCCACCCTGTTCGCCTGATAGGGTAAGCATCAGAAGATCCAACGGTGACGAATCCTTCGCCTCGCTGCCGATGCCGTTTCCGCTGCTGCCGCCACTGTTGCTCTCCTCGTGTTGCTCTTTCTGCAACCGTTGCTGTAGTTCCCCCTGTTGCTCCTCTTGTCCCACATGCCCCACTCGATCACCCACCTCCTCTGCCTGCAGTTGCGTTTCTTGAATCGCCTCCTCTGATCCCCCCCCACCCTGCTCCTCTCCATTTCCCCCCATTTCCCCCATTGCCCCCATCCCCCACATTGCCCCCATCCCGCCAATCCCCCTTTCTGCCTCCCCATCCATCTGCCACATGCCCCTCTCTCCCATCTCCCCCTCCCCCAACCCCATCCCCCCTTCTAGCCACATACCCCCCTCTTCCCCGTCTCGCCCCACACCACCCTCTTCCCCCTGCCCATCCCCCAAATCTATTGGCTGAGTTGCCTCAAGCACACTACAGGGTCTTGAGACAGGGGCAGCAAAGGCAGTGAGGAGGGCAGGTGCTCTATCGGGGGAAGCTCCTAGCTTAGAAATATAGGAGTTGACGGCAGTGGCAGCTCCTGACTCATAGGGATTGACCACGGATCCTTAAGCGAGTCTCTTAGAGGTTCTTTAAGCGAGTCTTTTAGCGCGTCGCTCACAGTAGCAACAGTGATTGTACCACCAGCATCACCAGCAATGATTGCAGCACCAGCCACAGGAGCAGGGCCGCCCCTAGAACTACCACCTCTAGCATCACCCCTGGCAGCAGCAGGGGGCGAGAGTCTTCTAGGGGCTGGCTTCTACAGGCTTTTACCTTCCGCCCCTGTACCCTCCACCTCTCCCCCTCTCCTACTCCCCTGTACCCTGCGCTGATGTGTGTGGTGCTACCACCACCCACACCAGTACATCCTACCCCAGGTGTACCTCCCTCTGCACACCCTCCCTCCATGTTCCCTGAGCTTGCAGCACTGGCTGCCACGTCAGCAGAAGACGGCACTCGGGGTGTTGCCGGCGCTGCTACAGCCGCTGCATCGGTTGTGGCTGCATCACGTACAGCCACATTGGCGGCTACAACCCCTCCTGCTATAGTCTCTCCTGCTAAAGTCCCCCTTGCTACAGCCCCACTCTCGGTTTTTTTAGGCGACCCATCAGTTTGCTCGTCTGTAGGCGTGGAGAGGAACGGAAGGTGTAGTCATCAGGGGTACCCTGAGAAAACAGGGCACCCTGGGAGAACACGGCATGCGAGGAGAAGAGGGCGTTCTGGGAAAGTACAGGTACCCCCTCCATCCCCTCTTGCAGGGAACCATGCCCCTTGTGGCCCTCGTCTCTCCCCTCTCCCTGCTGTTCCTGTGGCTCTGTCGATGCGCTCGCTGCTGCTTGCAGCTGTTGGTTCGGATGATGTTGTTGATGAAAATGATGCTCCGGCTGCAGTTGTTGCCGCTGTTGAAAATTCTCCTGCTGCTGCTGCTGCTGCCGCTGGCCCTCCCCCTCTTGAAGCCCCCCTACTCTGTGCCTCTGTATTGCTTCATCAAGGGTCATGGCCTCACTGCCTGTCTCCCAGTCCGCCGCCCCATTCTCCTCCTGAGACCCCATTCCATGGACCTGCCCCGACCCATCCCCATGCACCATCTGCCCTGCATCCCCCTCTCCCAAAACGCATGCCTTCATCCTATCCCCAGCCTCAATCAGCATCCCGTTATTTCTGGATTGCCCTGCTGCTGCAACTGCTGATATGCCCGCCTGTCTATACTACTCACTTTCCCCTATCTGCTGCTGCTGCTGTTGCTGCTGCTGTGGCTGCTGCTACGGGTAATCCCCTCTCTCATTTGCCTGCTGGTACCCTCCCCCCGGCTGCCGCTGCTGCCTCTGAGCCAGGTATTGCCTTAGAGCAGTGACAGGCAGGCTGGCACTAGCAGCAGATCGCATTGAGGCAGTTGCTTGGAGTGACGCCTGTGGCGAGAGGGAAAGAGGCTGGTTGGGTAGAGGAGAGTCGAGCGAGGAGAAAGAAAAGTGGCGATATTTAAAGACGAGTTCGAGAGGAACGGTTGAGATGAGAAAACACGAGCAGGGGAAAATTACAAAAACTCAAGTGTGCGAACATGATCGTGTGTGTGCGTGTGCGTGCATGTATGCATGCATGTGTGTGCGGGTTTGTTTCTGTGAAGAATGCCCACCTCCTGTGAGTGGGGGTGTGAGCCGATATCCGAGGCAATGTCATCCAGCGACTGCTTATACGCCCTCAGGTCACTCACTCCTGCTTCCGCACCCACTCCCCCACCAGTTGTAGCAGCCGTAGCAGTTGTACCATCTTCAGTTCTAGGGGGGCTTGTAGCAGGGTGGTTACCCCGCTTCTGCTGTTGCTGCTGCAGTTGGCATGGGACTAGCCTCCCTGCTTCTCCACCCCATCCAGGTGGCTTCAAGCGCATAAGACCCGAGGCAGAGTGCGCGGAGGGGGGGGTGATGGGAACAGGCATGGCGGTGCTGCTTGGCGTGACAGGCTCAGAAGAACTGCCACCACCATCAGCAGCAGAAGCGCCAGCACCAGCAGCACCAGTGTCAAGGGGTTTGAAACCGCCAAGCCCCACCCGTCTCTGTGTGTTAAGGGGAGGGGAGGGGAACATTTCCCCAGCGTTGCCACTGCCATGCACACTGCCGTTGCTGTTGCTGGTGATGTTGGTGATTTCACCTGCTGTCACACCACCAGTACTAGCACGAACAGAACCACCACCAGCACCAGCAGCAGCACCAGCGCCAGCAACACCAGCAGGAACACCACCTTTCCTACTGAAAGGAGTGAATCCTATACCAGGAACGCCAGTGTTTGGTGGTCCTGCCATGCCTAATAAAGCCCCCTCCTGGACCCCACAAGGGGGTGCTTGGCTGCGGAAAGAAAGCAGGCGAGCAGGCCCTGCTGCTGCGCCTGCTACCCCTGTTTATGCTGCTTCAGCTGCAGTTATCAGATCAGCACCTGAGAAAGCACCTGAAATAGCACCTGAGGCAGCAGCACCTGCTGATGTGGAAACAGGAGAAGCTGCAGGGAGTAACGGTGGTGGGTGGTGCCCCTGGTGGCAAAAACGCCGAACCGAACGAGGCAGCAGGGGTTGTCGCGGTTAATGGTTGTGATACTTGAAACACACCCTGAAACGCACCCCTCGTTGTCAGCACTCCTCCCTTTGCTGCCCTACCCCCTCTAGAACCCCCTCGGCCACCCTGGCTCATTCCCCTGCCTCCCCTACCTCCCCTTCGTCTCCTTCCTGCCGCTACAGCCGAACCTCCTGTTACTACAGCCGAACCTCCTGCCAGTACAACCGAGCCTCTTGCCGCTACAAACTGAGCTCCTCCTGCCCCTGAAACCAACCCTCCTCTCCCTGCCCCCGCAGCTCTAGGCGTCCCTACCATACCCCCATTCCCATCCCCATACCCATCCTCGTCATTAACATCCTCGATATCATCCACTCCCTCCTCCTCCTCCCAATCGTCCTCCTCTCCCCCTTCACCCTCCCCTTCCCCTACTGCTTCAATGTCCTCCCTCCCCTCGCCCCCACACTCCTCATCTTCTGCCCCTTGGCTAAGAGGGGGAAGAGACCCCTCCCTGCTGCCTGCTCGTGTGCCTGAACTCTTTGCTGAATTTGCAGGTGGGAAAAAGGGAGGAGAGGAAATGAGAGAAGGCACAACACACAATATCAAGCAAGGCAGGGAAGAGACCCCTCCCTGCTGCCTGCCCGCGTGCCTGAACTCTGCCTCCGCTGAATCTTCCCATTGGGGAGAGGGAGGGGAAAGGGGGTGCAAAACATAAGGTCATGCAAAGACTAAGGCCTCTGCTTGCTGCCCGGCCACGTGGGAAAGGGATGGAAAAAAGGGGCAATAATTGCTTCCCCAACTGCCTCGATGTCCTCCCTCCCATCGCCCCCACACTCCTCCTTGTCTGCCCCTTGCCCAGCACATGGGGGCAGAGACCCCTCCCTGCTGCCTGCTTGCGTGCCTGAAATCTGCCTGTGCGTGTGGAGGAAAAACAAACTCCCTTACCTAGTAAATACTTTAGAGATGACTCACTTGCCATCCTCCTCCCCTGCTCGCCCACGTGATTGGTGCATGATCCAATTCGTCTACCTGTCCTTCCCCCCCTTCCACTCACTCTCCTGCAAGGGTTTCCAGGACCCTGACAAACCCCCTTACCTGGTAGAACACCTTTGAGACCACCCACTCGCCCTCCTACTCCTCGCCCTACTAGGCAAGATCCAAATCGTCTTCAGATCCTTCCCATCCCACCATCCACCCCCCTGCTCGGCTTTCCATCCAAGCACCTCTGCAACAGGAGAATCATGGTCCTTACCTGATAGAACACCTAGGAAACGACCCACTCGCCCTCCTTCTCCTCGCCCTACTCCCCCACGTGGTATTGATGCATGATCCAGTTCGTCTTCCTATCCCTGTCCCCTGCAGGGCTGCTCCACTCGTCCGCCCCCCGTTTCTTGCCCCTCTGCGCCCGCGTCTCATACAACACCAGAATCTTCTTCCACCATCTCTGAGAAGGGGGGGGGGGGGGGGGGGGGGGGGATGGGGGGGAGGGGCACTAAGCAAGGAGGGAGATTCCTTTTAGGTGGCCTAGCAACACGTTTTCCCCTCTGCGCCCGATCTAAGGGTTAAGAGGGTAAAATTGCCCGGAGTGGGGAAATGTGGGGCAAAGGGTGGGGGGAAGGGCGGGAAGACAAGAAGCAACAGGGAGCGGCTTATGTTTGTTTCCCCTCTCTGCAGCACCCACATCTCGTTTTCATATCTGACACAATCCCATAATCGTTCCTCCTGATCTAGTTTTCGTGTGAGGAAGCGGTGGGGGGAGGTGAGGAGGGGCACGTTTCCCATACCTGCTTCGTGTTCTGCGCAAAGGAAGGGCGAGTCTTCCCTGTCGTGTGCCACCTGTACCTGCACACACTCCTCCCCCCCTGCACTCACGTCCACCTTCCCTCCCCCCCCCCTCAACCCCCTCTTTCTCTCTCCCTCTAGCAGGCACCAGGGTGACAGGGCAGAGGGTCGTCTCATACCTGCTTCCTGTTCCAAGCAAACACGGGGCGAGTCTTCCCTGTCTTGTGCCACCAGTACCCACATTCCTCTCAAAGGGGAGAGTCCCATACGTGCTTCAAGCCTACCTGCTTCAGGCCTACCTTCTTCAGGCCTACCTGCTTCAAGCCTTCCTGCTTACTGTTCCGAGCAAACATGGGGCGTGATATTTGACTCCAAAAAAACCAACCATCTAATTTTTCGTGGGTTGAGCTGTGGCTGGGCTCACGGATACTACAGTGATTTGTGGTATGTCCGTATCATCACGTCAGACTGGAGTCAACTTCTTCCAGGCACGCAGCTTCATGCGAGCAGAATCCGAGGTGGATACGTGCTCGAACCTGGCTCGCAAGGCGGCGCCCCACTCCTTCCACGTGCTCATCGCAGTTACTCCGAAGATTGATGATGCTCGTTGCGTAACAGGTGTCGAAGTCCCGTCGTTCGCACGTATTGTTCCTGCCCGGATCCCCACGGATTGCAGCGTGCGTCGCCACCACTCCAACGCAGCTCCGCGCAACAATGAAACTGCAACACGGGCGGTATCGTCATTAACACGATCAGCAATAAAAAAACACCTCTACACCGAACAACCATCTCGAAATTGTGAAGGGGGGTGGGTTCGTTGGTTTTGTCTTGACGGTTGTTGAGACTGTTGCTTCTGCCTATACTGCCGCTGCTACTATTTGTCAGATTTATATGACATAGCTACTGTAGGCTATAGTGGGGTAGCACATATGGGGTACAGTTTTCTAGGGTTTACATTTGTACCCAACTTTCCCTTAGTCCATCCATTCTCGTTTCGATTCTAACGTGGTATCGAGCAGGTTCCCTCGTGGGAACTGTTCCTAGGGCCCACCAATTCGACATTTTTTTTCTGCCCGGAGCGCGCTCAGTCCTAGCCCGAGTCGCGCTCCCCCCTCTCTTTTTTTTTTCTCGCCCCGTCGCGCCGCCCTAGCGGCCCTGTCGCCTGCCTTGCGGCCCTCGCGCCGCCCTTCCTGGCCCCGACCCGCCGCCCGGCGGCCTCGTCGCCTACCCCGCGGCCATCGCGCCGCCCTTACCCGGCCCCGATTCGCCGCCCTGCGGCCTCGTCGCCTACCCAGCGGCCCTCGCGCCGCCCTGCGGCCCTGACGCCGCCCTTTCCGGCCCCGGCGCCTACCTGCGGCCCCGACGCCTACCTGTGCGGCCCCGGCGCCTACCTGCTGGCCCCGCCACCTACCCGCGGCCCCGCCACCTACCTGTGCGGCCCCGCCACCTACCTGCGGCCCCGCCACCTACCTGCGGCCCCGCCACCTACCAGCAGCCCCGCCACCTACCCGCGGCCCCGCCATCTACCTGTGCGGCCCCGCCACCTACCTGCGGCCCCGCCACCTACCAGCGGCCCCGCCACCTACCCGCGGCCCCGCCACCTACCTGTGCGGCCCCGCCACCTACCTGCTGGCCCCGCCACCTACCTGCTGGCCCCGCCACCTACCTTTGCGGCCCCGCCGCCTCCTCTCAGCGGCCCCGCCGCTTCCTCCCAGCGGCCCCGGACGCCGCCCTCTCAGCGGCCCCGCCGAGCCGCCCAGCAGCCGAGCCGCCCAGCAGCCGAGCCGCCCAGCCGCCGAGCCGCCCAGCAGCCGAGCCGCCCAGCAGCCGAGCCGCCCAGCAGCCGAGCCGCCGAGCCGCCCAGCAGCCGAGCCGCCGAGCCGCCCAGCAGCCGAGCCGCCGAGCCGCCAAGCAGCCGAGCCGCCGAGCCGCCCAGCAGCCGAGCCGCCGAGCCGCCCTGCAGCCGAGCCGCCCGAGCCGCCCTGTCCGGTAAGAGCAGCGCCTCTTTCACAGCACTGCCCTCACCCTACTGTTTGCGCTGCTAGTCTACTGCTGTCATGGCTACCCCTAGTGTCCTATCTTTTGACGCTGAGGGTCGGGCCATTGACTTTGACGTCTGGATAGATGACCTGCAGCTTTTCTTACAGTGCGATAGGGCAGACGGCCTCTCCCTCTTTGACCTCACTTCTGGTGCCTCTCCTGCCCCCACTACTGATGCTGACGCCACTGTTCGCTCACAGTGGGCCACGCGCGATGCTGCTGCACGTCTTGCTGTGCGTCGCCACCTGCCTACCTCTGAGCGTGCGCACTTTAGCCAGTACAAGAGTGCTCACACCTTGTACGACGCTGTAGTTGCGCGCTACTCCTCCCCTGCCACTGCTGCACTGAGCCGCCTCATGCTACCGTACCTCTTCCCTGACCTTGCTGCCTTTCCCACAGTCGCTGACCTCATTACGCACCTCCGCACTAGTGACACTCGCTACCGCGCTGCGCTTCCTGCTGAGTTCTGCGCCAAGAACCCCCCCCCCATGTACATCACCCTCTACTACATAGTCACCCGTCTCCCTGACTCCCTTCGCGTAGTCAGGGACCACTTCCTCTCAGTTTGCCCCACCACTCTCACCGTTGACCTCCTCGAGAAGGCCCTCCTAGCAGCAGAAAAGAGCATAGTAGCTGTAGGAGCCTCTCGTGGTGACCCTCGCACCCCCATCTTTGAGGGGTGTTCCCCCTCCCCTCTTTTGCCCTCTGTTGCCTCTGCTGCTGCAGCCGACCTCGTTGGTCTCGAGTCGGTCGGCGCTGCGTCTGCCCCGAGCGGGAGACGCCGCACCGGCAAGGGCAAGGGGGGCAAGGGTGCTGGAGGGGCTGGCGGGGGTGGCGGAGGTAGCGGTGGCGGCAGTGGAGGGGGTGGGGGTGGTGGTGGGAGTGGTGGCGGGGGTGGAGGTGTCGGTGGCGGCAGTGGAGGCGGAGGCGGCGG